CAAAAAAAAAAAAAAAAAGAAATGCACACAATTGGCTCTTGCCAGTGAGATCTGGCTCCAGCACACCTCTGGCGCATACTGAATCCACATAGAATCCTGTTTTCATCCAGCTTTCTAATGTGGGACAGAGAATATAAGGGGCATTTAGGATACTATGTGTAAGTGTACTGGAGAAATGACCCCCCAAGGCTCAGGTCCGGTTCCCTGAAGTCCTTCTCTGAAGTAGCTTTTATTTTTGAGTCGGGGTCTTACTCTGTCGCCTAGGCTGGAGTGCAGTGGCACCTCACGGCCACCATAGCCTCGACCTGCTGGACTCAGGTGATCCTTCCACCTCAGACTTCCAAGTAGCTGGAACTACTGGTGTGTGCCACCATGCCCAGTTAATTTTTTGGATTTATTGTAGAGAAGAGGTCTTGCTAAGTTGCACAGACTGGTCCCGAACCCGTGGGCTCAGGCAGTCCTCTCACCTTGGCCTCCCAAAATGCTGGAATTACAGGCTTGAGCCACTGTTGTAGTAGCTTTTCATACATGGAACCCCAAAGGTTGAGATTCAGCCAGCTGAAGCCATGCTCACCACTCTTACAGCACAGACTTTCCCTTTTCCTGCCACACCCAGGATCTTCTTTTGCCCGACCTGCTTCCCCTATAACTGTAGAATACATAAGAATCTCCAGTAGATCATTTTTGTCTCTCTGAGGAATAGTCCTCGAGATGTGTGAGGGCATTTATATATAAAGTCCTGAGAAGTCTTCTCACCACCCAGTAAACCATGTTGCCCTTGGTTTGAAGTTAGGTAAGGCTTGGTAGAGCACCCATGGGTGAGGAGAGGTTATTTAGGGTGACAGTTTGATCTAAATCCATGACTTCTGAACTGATAAATTCAAAAACAGTAAGCCAGCTCTGTCCTGAGGAGCACAGTGGAGAGCCTGGCTTTCCAGAGGGGCTTGTGGACCTCCTGCTGCTGGTCTAGAGGCTGCCAGGCCTGCCTCCCATGGCTATTCCCCACAAGGTCTTTTTGAATCCGTGGGAAGCTGTCATGTTTCTTTGGTTTTTACTACAAGCCTGTGATCTAGGAATTTTCCCCAAAGAACCAGCCCTATGCAAAGGTGCATTATCCATTCACCTCCCTTCCTGCCCTTCATCTCCCTCCCCACCCCACGCCCAGTCTTTTTGTCACCAATATGGTTTTCTTGCTGGTTTGAGGTTAGGAAAGGCTTGACAGAGTGCAGCAGGTGGGCACTCAAATGTGTCTTGGAAGAAAATAACTCATGTCATTCCCTCCTACAGAGCATCGCAACATGCCCCAGGCAGATGCCATGGTGCTGGTGGCCAGAAATTATGAGCGCTACAAGAATGAGTGTCGGGAGAAGGAACGTGAGGAGATTGCCAGACAGGCAGCCAAGATGGCTGATGAAGCCATCCTACAGGAAAGAGACCGAGGAGGTCCTGAGGAGGGCCTGCGTGGGGGCCATCCCCCGGCTATCCAGAGCCTCATCAACTTGCTGGCAGACAACAGGTACCTCACTGCCGAAGAGACTGACAAGATCATCAACTACCTGCGAGAGCGAAAGGAGCGTTTGATGAGGAGCAGCACCGACTCTCTGCCTGGTGAGCTACGTGGCAGGGCCGAGGTGAAGTTCTGACTCTGCATTTCTCTAATCCCCAGGCTCTGTTGGGAGGGTTGCAGGCTTCTTTGGGTGGGTGAGGGTAATGAGTTCATCCCCTGGGTTCTCCCAGGGGCCATGCTGATGTAATGATAATGATAACTTAAGATTGGGGTACTGAATTCTGATCCCTGTAGTTAATGTCGTGGTGGGACTAGTATTGCTGGCTCTCTGGTAGCCAGAATGGATGCCCTCTTTTGTTTGTTTTTAGCTTTTAGCAGTTCCCTGGGAGGGACTCTGCTGTTTTCTGTAAACAGCACATATCATGAAGTGGCCCCTTTGGGAAATTGATGTTATTGTCTGTGTACTGTATGGTTGATGTGACTCAGTGATTGTTGTTCTTCCTTTGGTTGCTAAGCCTCCTGCTCGTGGGGGGGTACTTTCAACCAGATACCTCCTTCTTCTGTCTTGCAGGCCCGATTTCCCGCCAACCACTCGGGGCGCCCTCGGGTGCCTCGCTGAAGACACAGCCAAGCTCCCAACCGCTCCAGAGCGGCCAAGTGCTCCCCTCTGCTACACCCACTCCAGCTGCACCCCCCACCTCCCAACAAGAGCTTCAGGCCAAAATCCTCAGCCTCTTCAATAGTGGCACGGTTGCGGCCAATAGCAGCTCGGCATCCCCCTCAGTTGCTGCCGGAAGCACCCAGAACCAGAATTTTTCCACAGCAGCAAACAGCCAGCCTCAGCAAAGATCACAGGCCTCTGGCAATCAGCCTCCAAACATTTTGGGACAGGCAGGATCTGCTGGGAACATGGGTCCCAGACCAGGAGCTCCTTCCCAAGGGCTTTTTGGCCAGCCTTCCAGTCGTCTGGCACCTGCTAGCAACATGGCTAGCCAGAGGCCCGTGTCTTCCACAGTCATCAACTTTGACAATCCAAGTGTACAGAAGGCTCTGGACACCCTAATTCAGAGTGGCCCTGCTCTCTCCCACCTGGTTAGCCAGACCACAGCACCGGTGGGGCAGCCCCAGGGCCACATGGGATCTTACCAGAGGCATTACTGAGGCTAAATCTGTCATCTACTCCCATCCCTCATCCCTGGCCTCCTCCCACCTACTGCGTTCTAAATAGAGTTGTCTGCAGGATGTTCTTTGCACTCTCCAGGTCTGCATCAAATATCCTAAGTTTCTACCACCTGCTCTGTTGCTTATTCTTTACCAAGTCAGATTTGTACTGCATTTGGGACTGTATCTTTTTGTTTTTGCTTTTGTCTTTTTGTAGAAAATAAATATCTCTAGGGTCACTTGGGCAGTACAGGTGTGTGAGCTTAGTTTATATTTGATGGGGTTTGTCTGGTCCTTCTGTATGCTGGATTTGGAAGAGGAAAGGAAGAAACCAGGCCCAGCTGGCCGAGTTTGGAATGGCATTTGTCATGTCAGTAACCACCACCTTTGTTCATTGTGAACCTACCAAGGCTTTCCAGCTTCATATAGGTCGACCAGAGCTCCAGCTCCCACCTGCAGCTCCTACTTTGGGTGCAAAGAGGCAGACTGGCCTTGGCAAGCACAGTGTTGTCATGCCCCCACCCTATGGTTGGCGTCTGCTTAAGGATTCACAACTCAGCTACTCTAGATTGAGGAGCGGCCATGACAGACACAGAAGAAGGAACTTTCTGCCAGAGCCAAGGTTGTTTTTGGGGGTTTTTTTGTTTTTCTCGTTTTCATTTTGTTGGAGGATCTCCAATGGACTGAGCCGCTCCAGTCAGCCGCAGTTTAACATAAACTGTGAATTTGGGCCCACCACTCTTCTCCTCCTCAGCTCTGTCAGCACCCCTCCAGCGGCACTTCCCGGAATCGGTTTTGAGACTCTGGCCACGAACACTCATTTCTTCAGTGATTTGTTTTGAGCTTTTGGCTCAAAAACCCAGGCTCTTGTTTTCATCTAGACTCTTGTTCTGTTTTCTGAGCAGCAGGAGGTAGGGACCATTTTGATGTCAGACTTTTGGTAGCTGGACATATTCTCGAGACAAATGGCCGTTCATGACTTTTACGCCAGACAGATTGTTGGAGGGCTTCTAGCTGCTGCTCTAAATGGAGCCCCAGGAAGCTTCCCCTTCCCTAGGGCTTGTACTCATTGGAGCCCCGTGGATCATAGTCTCGACAGCCCCTGGCAGGGGTGAGGGAGAGCAGTGACTTCAGCTGAGTTCCCGCCACTGGCTGAGCAAACTGGTTTTTAAATTCAAGGTCCCCAGGTGGCAGCATTTTATGTTCTGACCCGTTTGTGTTATATAGTGTTTTTTTCTCTTTGAAACTTGTGTTGTTAATAATATGAAATGATTACTTTTTAATTAAAATGAAAAAGTATAAGCCGTGTTCATCTTTCTTGGGTGTGACAATCTGCAGCACCCCTTTGCAGGGCCCTCTTTCCCAGGGTCAGAAGGTGACGGCTCCTGCCTTGAGGCCTCTGGTCTGCCCCCCTCTTGTCCACAGCCTGCAGTTTTGAACTCTACCTTCTCTGTATACAGCTCGCCTAGTTACAAGCTTAATAATAGTTCAAAGTAAAAGCCTACTGGCTAATTTTTATGCTTCCTGCTTCTGGGAGACATTCGTGAATGTGTCCACAGTCTTGTCCTCTTGCTCTAGGAAAGGAAGGCAGGAGGACTGTGAGGAACCATCTCTGGTTGTTGGCCACTGGTGGGTGTGCACTCTCCTGTTTGGATTTTGTCTATTTGCCACCCTCTATCGTACCTTACACCAGTGGTGCAGAGAGTTGTCAGAATCCATAGTCACAGAACCTGAAGGAGACTTGAAGAGCATTTCACAAACTTGGAGTGAGTGTGAAGTGGGTGGGGCAGGCCTCTGGTGCTGAGCATCCCCTGGTGGGTGCCCACTGCCTCAGGGGATGTCAGTGCAGCCTCACACCTGGTAAGTTCCTGCCAGACTCTCAGGAGATGTTAGTGCTGTGCTAACCAGACCTGGGGCCTCGGCCCACCTCTTCACCAGTGGAGGTCAGTGTTTCTGATTAAGACTGTGGGGTCCTCCTGAAGGGCCCCTGGGAATGTCAAACAGCACACCTCAGGCCATGAAGGGTATAATAAAATTATTTTTATTGCATTTTGTGCAGACAGGAGTCTAAAAAATTAACACAGTAAAAGCTGTAAAGCATTAAATGGGAGCATTCAACAATAAAGGAAAGAACCAACCCTCTCCTTTTCATATTGGCACAAAGAACACAAGATCAGTACTGAGGCAGGATGCGGAATACTGAAACACACTGAAAATCAAAGGCAGGCCTAATAATAATAGTAATAATGGTAATAAATACTCTTGATTTGGTTTGCAACCTTCTATTTACAAGGGTTTTCAACTTCATTGCATTGCCCTGCACATAGATCGTCTAAAACAAAAGCAACACTAGTTATCACTACAAGGCTAATTGAAATATTGCACTCAGAATAAAAGTCACTTGAATGGACATGAAACATCTAACTACAGTGATTATAAAGATAATTCGATGAATGACTTGTGATAACATTCATAACAAATATTGCACATGTAGCACAGAAAACTTGGGTTTTTGTTGTGGGATGTGTTTTTCATCAACGGAAACTGCTCTTGCCAACCAGACAGTCTGGGCCCAGATAGTGCAACTTTGGTTCCCTAATTGATGATACAGCCCCCTTCCGAGCAGCCCATCACTTCAGCCCCCAGATTCACAGGGGCCCCCAGAAGGCAGGGCCCAGCTGTGGTTCAGAGGGAGGTCTCTTGAAGGATGCAGGGGGCTGGTGTCTTACACCTCCAGCTTTCTGATTGGTACCTGAAAGAATCTATCTAATCCCCTGATCGAATCTCAGAGGCGCCTTGGCCGAACCCGCAGACCTCCAGACCTACCCCCCAGCCACGCCTGGCCCTGTCCAGATGGCACCGGCTCCAGCTCTCTACCTTGGGCTTAAAGGAAAGGAGGTGGTGAGGTCAGGAGTACTCAGTGGCCCCAGCACTGGGAGGTGGGCAAGATGTCTAACTAGGTGCGCAGGTCAGGGCCTCGGGGCTGGAGGTACTGTACCCAGTCCCAGAGGGCGCTGGAACGAGCATGCAGTGCCTGTCCCCCTTAGTTACGTGCCCTGGGGGGCGGGAACCCGGCCAGCGCGCCTCCTCTAAGGACAGGGCGCCTCAGGCCGGGCGGTGGAGTGGGGGAAGCCACAGGCCTTGGGTCCTGGTTAGAGGAGGGCAGAGAGGCGCTAAGAACACGGCGCGCGGCGACTCCAGCCCTCCCGAGGCCCAGGTGCCGGGGAGGCGGAGCCAGAGGCCGCTGCCAGGCAGCGAGGCCGCCCCAGAGCACGGAGAAGGCGGCTGGGCCCCGAGGCCAGGGCCGCCGGGTGGGGGCCGGGGAGCGAACATCGGGAGCGGCGCTGGGGCCTCCCAGTGGGTGGGGCCCCTAAACCAGAATCGCCCGCCTCCTCCCTCCCTCACCTGTCCCAGGGAAGAAACTCCGGGGAGGGGGCGCCCTCCAGCTCCACGATTTCAGTCTTTGGCGAGGAGCCATGGGATGGGGGAGCAGGCGACAAGCCGACTGAGGAGAGACGCCTGCTCCCCAGCGAAGGCACCGGGGCGGGGCTTCCTCGGTGGGGCGCGGGCCTCTCGGTTTCTCCCCCTCCCCATCCTGGCCCCAACTTGCATAAGAGCCGGGAGAAGAGGGCGCGCGCGTCTCTGCAGCCGTGGAAGCCCACGTCGCTGGGAGGCGAATCCAGGAAACGCTGGACGCTTGTCTCGCCTCGTCCGGAAGAGAGCTGGAGGGGGGGTGGGAAGCCGAGGGCGCGCGGCCAGGGCCAGGAGGCG